CTCCTTCATTTTTTTAAGTTAGACATCAACTTTCTTAGTATTCCTCAATCTATTAATTATAAACAATATAACAAGAAAAAAATAGTAAAATATAAAAGAATGGCAGTTTTCTGATATATAAAAAGTATATAGGGTCGCTAGAGACCCGAGGTATGTAAATGTGTAAGTATTTTTTCCTGCGCAACTATATTTACATATCTGATGACTCAATATGTGCAATGCATCTTTTTTCCTGAAGGTGGCACTGTTTGATACACAATGATGACGTGACATTTCACTCATAATTACCGCAGGCATAAAACAAACGAATATCATCAGCAAAAATTGAAGTGGTTTGAATGGCTTTACTGCAGAGCAATTACTATACGCAATGAAATATAAATGTCACTTTTGATGCTGGATGTGGTGAATAAGCTGCCAGTGATCAAAATATTGAATATGAAGTCACTGAAAGTGATAGTTTTGAGAATATGGTTGAGATCGTGAATGTGAGGCAGATGCTGAATGTACTGTGGAAGTGCACTCTGACAATGACAGCGATGGTAAAATCATCTGCTCAAATTGAACCCTTTTAAGTTTCAAAAGGTAACATAATATGCTTTATTTTATTCTTCTGTAATTGTTCTTAAAATATCAAGAGAGTTTTTTGCTATTGCAGCAGTTAGAGATCCATCCGTACTGGATATATAGGTCCGGGTTGCTAAAGACCCGAATATGTAATAATGATTGGCGAAACATTCATGCATTTAAGGGTTAACACTCCAAAGACAAAGGAAAACATGAAATCGCATCATATGACCCCTTTAAAAAGAACCAGTTCATTTAAGTCATTCATCTGTGATTTGAACTGATACACTGTATGTTTTTTGTTCCATGGACAATGTATTAAAAACTGTTTTAATGATATAATTTAGTGGTGCTTTTTATGGTATCAGACATCAAGCTACAGCTTAAACATTCATCTGCCGTAGCATTATAGATTAAAAACCACAGAAAACATTGTTAGGGTATGTTGTTATAATGTTCCAATGACTTATTTTTTTATTATTGTTTTTAAATGAACCCAATTCTGAATAAAATTCCCAGCCCTATTTGCTTCTTGAGAAATGTCAGAAAAGAAGGTGATGAACGAACAAAAGCTATGAAAGAGACATTTTAAGACCAAGGATAAGCAAGATATTCTACTTACGGGCAAACTACTTCCATCTATGACAGACATGCTTCTGCGTGTTGCAGGTCTGGTGTCTAGAACATTCTTCTTGGCCACCTTTAGCTCTCTACTCTTTGGAGGAATATAGCCATCCCTCATGGACACTAATATGGGGTCTGCGTCTCGTCCGTCAATCCATTCTTCAGGTTCCAGAGCTGGCTCTGGGCCTGCTGTGTCTGGATACAGATCATCCTGGAACAGGTCCGACTGGCATCATAGCAACAGAAAGAGAAAAATGTAAATGGATGAACAGATTTTACATACTTCATCATCATATAATCAACTTTTGGTTTCCAATACTTCAGTTTTGTTGGATTTGTGTTCATAGTGGTTCAGGATTGAAATAACCCTCAACAAAGAGTATGTGCTTACCTTTCTGGGTACTGTCATCATAATAGGCTCACACTTTCTTTCATGGAGTTTATATAATCTATATGAGGAATAATACAAGTTTCAGGAATGCTCAATGTGAATGTTTAGAATAACATATACTGATGAATTGTGCACAATACGACACAAAATGAGTACTGAGAAAGTAAAAGGATCCATTTTGATTTCTTGTAGAGAAAAGTCCTTTCAAAAACAAGCAAATGTTTGAAAAGACAGAATGACACCAACTTCTATACTTTCCCTCAAAAAAAAGTACATTGATTAAATATGATTTTTTTCTTCAGGATTCTTTGATGAATAGAAATCTCCATAGAACAGTATTTATTTGAAACAGAAATCTTTTGTAACATTACAAATATCTGTCACTTTTCATCAATTTAATGTGTCCCTGCTAAATAAAAGTATAAATAAATCTCACTGACCCCAAACTTTTGAATGCTAGTCTAGATATATGGTATTTCTGTACACCACATTTTAAAGTAACTATAACACATATCCAAATTAACCAGTTTAACCATGCAAATCTGACCTGGCAATCTCACACTTGCTGACGTCCACTCCTCTCTTGGGCATGAAGCCCATTCCTCTCTGTGGCTCCTTGCTACTGAATGTGCTGATGTAATGCACATAGGGAGGCTCCTCTGTGATCTCAAAATACCGAATACTGCTGTCACCCTGTGGAGACACGGAAACAACTTTACAGCGCCAGCCTGAGTACGATAGCAAATGGAGATGAAACAAGGAGTCATACCTTGCCGCTGAGATACATGATGTTAGTGTCTGGATCATAAAAAGGCAATAAAACTCCATTACTTGTGTCCAACTCCAACAATGCTATGGGCTCTTCAAAATTAGTCTAAACAATGACAGAAATGAACACCATCAGTGATTTGAAAGAAAACAACTGCAGTGAAATAAAACTGATCAATATATAGAAAAATTTATAGAATAAAATCAATAAAATAATGAATGAGCCTTAAATAGGTAAATGAACATTTTGTCACAATTTAATCACCCTCATATCATTCCAAACCCATAAAACTTTGGTTAATCGAGACACAAATTCAGGTATTTCAATCAATGTATCCTGAGAGGTTTCTTTCTGTCCACTGAAAGTCCAGGTAACCAAAACTTAGAATATCCAAAAAGGCCACAAAGGCATCATAAAAGTAAACATTTTGAAGAGATATGATATGATCGCTTTAAGTTATGAGCAGATTTCATTTAGACTTTTATTTATATCTAAACAATGATCGACACACATACATAGCGCACATCACATATGGCAAACAACCAGCTCAAACATGTATGCGTTACACAGGAGAACCAGTGAGGTTTGTTCTAGCGTGTGACACACACACAAGCTTCCATGTTTAACTTATGTGATGTGCTCTATGTAAGTGTGTTTATATGTGAATAAAATCTTATAAAGATATCATATCTCTTCATAAGACTTGGATTAAACCGCTCAATTCATTCAGATTGATTTTACAACGCCTTTGCAATGTTTTTGGATCTTCTAAGTTTTACTTACCTGGACTTTCAATGCAGGGACAGAAATTTCTCAGCTTTCACTAAAAATATTTTAATTTGTGTCGAAGATTAGCCAAAGCAAACTAGGTATGGGATAGCATAAAGGTAAGTAAATGAACTATCCTTTTCATTTTGCTCCATTACCGGATCCCACAGGCCAAGCTCTCTCTGGCTCATCCGGGTGAAACCTGTGGTGAAAATGTTGCCCTCTTTGGTAAAAATGGCTCTCATTGGCCGGATGCCCTCATGTGGGGACAGTCTTTCCTACAGAAGAAAAAATGTCCATAATGACCAAGTTTACCAACAGCCCTGAGGTTTTTCTTCTTTTCGCTACTATAATACTTACCGCCACCACCTCGTTTTTCCGGGGATCGCACACTCGAAGGCGACGGTCCTTGCAGGTGGTGCAAAACAGGCTACCGTTGTAGTTCCAGCTGACGTTATAGATGAGATCAGGATGGTCATCCATTGTCATCAAGGGTTCTCCAGTGCCCACATTCCAGACGATGATCAGATTATCACTGCCTGAGACAAAAGCACACTGAATGGAAACCATCTGCATGGTGGGACCAAGACTTTCCACTGCTTCTAATTTATTTCCAATGAAATTAAGTAATCTTATTTTTATACACTTGTATATCTGTTTAATGTAAGAAGTTGGTGTCTATTAAAAAGCAGTACTGATCTTTACCTGCAGTGAGGAGTATGTTGCGGGCAGTGGGGTGCCATCTGATGATGCCCACACGTTTAGAGTGACCCTCCAGCACCACAATGGGCTCACTGATGGGACGAGAGGGAGTGTGGTCAGGGATCTGCCATACCTGAGTATACACAACTCTATTAGCGAAACGGTTCTCAACTGGGGTGCCTCAACGAACTTCCAAGGATTTAATATTTTATTATAATTATTGTAATATTTTTTAGATCATCCTGCAACCTGGATGACTTAAATATATTTGTATTTTTTTAACATAATTACTAAAAATTATTTTAAAAACATAAAATAAATATTGTAAAGACATACAGACATGTTCATCTGCTTTAAACGTAAGAATGTAGAAAAATCCCACACACTACTCAAACTTCATTAAGCCTGAGGATGGCTGATTGACCACAATGTTGCTAATAAAATTTTGTAATTATACTAGTTGTATATATTGCAATTTTTTTGGGTTTACAATTTTCTGTAGTAACATAATACGGTAATTAAACAAGAATAATCAATTAGCCTAGAAAACATTTGGTGTAGAAACAATTTTCCAATAATCTTTGTTTCATTTACAACTTCGAACCATATGTTTTTTTTACAGTTTACAGATTAAACTGTCTGGGTATACTTATATATTGGATTGAAGATAAGTAGTATCGTTCCTTTGGTTTCCAGTGAGCACAGCAGCAATGTCAGCACAGATGACAGCTGCAGTTAAACTCCTCTAACAGCAGTGCATACAGTGCATGCCATTCACGTTTGTAATGTAATGTAATGAAATAGCAGTAATAGCACTCATATATTATAATACATCTCCACATCATCTTGCTAAACTCTGGGGAAATGCATCCCATATCCGTTTTCAATAGATTATATAATACTTTCAGCATTTATACTCAAATTTAAAACGTCTGAATGCTATTGCAGTAGATACAAAACAAACCAAGTGACATCTGCAAGCAAATACTTTAAATAGCTTTTCTAGTAGCAACTTTACTTTCCTAAGCCACTTTTGTTCAGATTCACACAGGTGTTCTAGAAGTTGTAGTTTTATTTGTCTTAATTTTGAACAGTGACACACTGAATAAAAAGAAAAAATAATTTAAAAAAACTGGTGTAGGATTTACTTTGAAACTATTTTTGCTTAGAAATTGCTAGTAAATTTCACAAATAGTTACAAAGAAATAGCAAGTAACACATTGAATTAAAAGTACAATTTTACATTTTGTAAAATGTACTCCAATAATCCTTGTTTTTACAAGTTTGAAAAAACACTTTTTTTCAGTGTATTGTTTTATTATTTTAACTTTTCGTGAAATTCTTTTTCTTATGTTACCTTTATTTATTTTTATCTAATGTAATGACATTTATACACTAATAAGTATGGCTTAAGTGTCCAAATACTTCACGAGGTCACCGTATACAGACGTGTTTGTGCATGAGGACATGCGCATGTTCCAGTGTGTGCTGAAAATGAAATGACTCATCCCTATAGACAACTCAGACCCATCATTCCTTGTCTGTCATTACCACTGGCTTATTTGTGAACAGGTTTCTGGCCAAGAGTGCCATTCTAACATGTGTTTATAAATACCAGCTCCTGTCCCATGCCCGAACCGTTAACTCCAGTCATCACCCTTCATATTAACACTATTGTCTTTCACCGTGATCTTTCCCTCCAGTGTAAGTAGGTATATATGGAGGCATGCTGCATTTGTTAGTAAAAAATGCAACTGAAACATGTTCATGACTACAAGGCTAGCGGCTGGCAGGCAGTGGAGATGTTTATGAATGTCTGTCATGATGATTACCATGGCAGTGGTGTCTTCAGAGCAGCTGGCCAGTATGTTGTCATTGTGAGGACACCAGTCAATGTCCAGAACAGGCCCTGAGTGTCCAACCACTAGAGGGTAGTTTTTGTCCACTCGACCCACCTATAGCATATTAAAACAAGGAATAAAAGATCATGTTAAGTATTGAGACACATATAAAGTCAGTATATAGTCTTAATATAAACAACCATCAAATGTTTGTGGTCAGTAAGACTTTTTAATCTTAGTCTCTTATGTTCACCAAGGCTGCATTTATTTGATCAAACATACAGTATAAAAACCAATATTGTAAAACATTACAATTTAAAAATAACTGGTTTCTATTTTAATATATTTTAAAATGTAATTTATTCCTGTAATGATAACGCTGAATTTGCAGCAGCCATCACTCCAGTCTTCAGTGTCACATGATCCTTTAGAAATCATTCAAATATGCTAATCTGATGATCAAGAAACATTTCTTATTATTATAAATATTGAAAACAGTTGCTTAATATATATTTTTAAAACCATTATACTTTTTTTCAGGATTCTTTGATTAATAGAAAGCCTAAAAGAACAGCATTTATTTAAAATATATATTTTTTTATATTTTAACTTCCTGAATAAAAGTATTAATTTCTTTAAAAAATGTATATATATATCGGTAATTTATTTGTAATCCTTTTTGCTGCGTGCACTATATATATATATATATATATATATATATATGCTATCAAACAAATATTTTGTTTAATTTATGGGAAATTAATATTTATTATCTATAAATATTTATTTAATTTAATGTTTAGTGTTACAAAAACACATAAATCTGGGTTTTAAACATTTAGATTTATCCCAAGTTTTGTTGTAATGTTGCAAAATGAATAGAAAATAAAGCAGCTTTAATATTTACTTTGACCTCCTGAGGTTGACGATCAACATTTTCTGTAACTTCTTTTAATGTTATTTCGTTATTTGTGTTGAAACAGTGTGAGCACGTGTTGGTTCTGTGTTCAGCTGCTCCTCCTCATCCTCCTTGTGTGTATTTATAACCCTGTGATGAGGCGCTGAAAAGGGAGTTTTTCTTTTGGCCTGCCTGAGACTGAGTACAGGGGAGATGGCTTGCTGAGTATTTATAGCGTGTCTTTCCAGGCCTGCTGATATATGCTCATGACTCGGCAGAGGCTACACTAAAAGGGCATTAACTGATGATGGACCCTTAGAGAATCAAGACAAACTCACAAAAATAGATTAAATGATGTGATTCGCCGCTGTTTATCAATATATTACGCTTGACTTTGATTCGACAAAGGTCGCACATGCATTAGCAACAACTAGAAGTACTTTAAGATGCTTTTTAATGTCAAACTCAGCATTTCTACAATAGTTTCTATTGTGGAAGACCTGTTTGATTGCGTAACCTACATCAAATTCATATAAGAACTTTATACAGTAGTCCCAAATGTAGTTCTTTGAATACTTAAACTACATTTAAAAATACCAAATAACAAAAATATCAGACCAAGTGGCATTTATTATAAAGAAAGAGCACACACACTTTTCAAGCAGACTTTTAGACAGTCTTTGGTTGTCAAATATCTGTTCATCAGTAAATATGATAAACTATACCTGTGTGAACAAACACTAAAATGACCTTAGGGCCAATTGAGAGGAATTTCTAAAAAGAAAAATTAATTTGGACAAAAAAAAAAAAGTGTGCCACCTGTTTGAAATGCTGTTATCTAATGACATTTAGGCATTTTTAAATACTTTCAGGCATGTGTAAATACTTTTTTAAACCACTTTATCTGTGAAATGCATTTATTTGAAATATATTTTGTATTATTATAAATTTCTTCACTGTACATTTTTTTTTGATCAATTTGATCATCTTACTGACCCCAAACGTTTGAATGATAATATATGTGACCCTGGACCACAAAACCAGTCATAAGGGTCAATTTTTAGGATAGGACAATATTTGGCCGAGATACAACTATTTGAAAATCTGGAATCTGAGGGTGCACAAAAAATCTTTAAAGTTGTCCAAATGAAGTTCTTAGCAATGCATATTACTAATCAAAAATTAAGTTTTAATATATTTACAGACGGAAATTTACTAAATATCTTCATGGAACATGATCTTTACTTAATATCCTAATGATTTTTGGCATAATACAATGTATTTTTGGCTATTGCTACAAACATACCCCAGCGACTTAAGACTGGTTTTGTGGTCCAGGGTTACATATGTATACATTTTGTAATCTGAATACTTTTAACTGCATCCCATATTTGACGTTTACCCAGGAAGTAGTTTTATTTGGCCCCGTTCTTTAGCCCAGCTCATTCTATTTTCTCAAATTTTACAGAAATTGAAGGTTGTGTTCATCAAATTCAACTATTCAATCCTGTTACCAAAATGTAAAAAAAATATTTAATGTATGAGAAATAACTACTCATATGAATCTAATCTATATATTATGTGAAATAACAGTAGAAACTTCATGTTTATGCTTAAATTTGTCAATGTCAGTTTAATGATGAGTCTATAATTAATTCCACTAGGTAGAAATGTCTAGTGCGTGTGGATGCATTCTGAAGAAACCAATGACAGAGGAAAGAAGATATAAACATATATGATGACATACTAATGATATGATCTTCATGAACTGCATTAGAAATCTGATGTTGTAAAACATGCTTACTATTTTCATAGTTCCATGAATATTTGTGATAAAATGTTATAAAATGGACAAACGATCATCATATTGGCATATTGATTTCCATTGGTTTGCCGTTACTGCAGATGCAAGCAGCTAAGTAACAGATAAGAAGAGATGGCAATGCATGATGGGGATTACATCAACTCAAAAAGGCTTACTTATCATCTCTAAACTCAGCTTCGGTATGTCACAGAAGTAGTTTCAGACAACATATGCAAGTTGTGTACCCTGTTTCCATGGGGTTCAAACCTTTGCCTCTATGAGGGTGAAATGGAAGCCCTGTGGGGGATGGGCACCCTTAACATGAGCCACGGCTGAGGCTCTTGAACAAACATACCCATAAATATAGCCCCACGAAGCTGAAAGAATAGACAAGGGTTGTATGGTTTTACATGTTTCAGTAGTTTTCTCCTCAAGCCACTCACCTGTGAGAGAGGCAGAACCAGAAAGGCCCCGCCTCCACTGGACTCCACTATAACTGCCAGAAACTTTGGGTTAACTGCACAGAAGGAACTGTCCCATGTCACTTTGGAAACCCGGATATCATCAAAACTTTGATCCGCTTTCACTGCTTGCCCAAAAACATGCCGGAACTTACTCTGGCGCACAATGCTGCGACTCTATTTGAGAGAAATAGGCCTTTTGTGTACATAGAAAAAGTCTTAGATCTTTGAGTTCAGCTCATGAAAAATGGGGGCAAAAACAAAAGTGTTGCGTTTATAATTGTGTTCTGTATATATATATATATATATATATATATATATATATAATAGCCTATATAATACATGGAATATTTAATAATTATTTGGTGTACACTCTGTGAAAAAGCTGCTTAGTAATCACTATCAAACTGTAAAATGTATTTTAAATTAAATTAAATGTATATTTGATTGTAATTGGCTTAATAATGTATTATTCAATTATAATTATCTATCATTTATTAAAAAACATATTTGTCAATGACAATGACAGTAACATTAAATATTGCTTTATTAATGTCAGTTAGATATATTATTTTCTGGTAATTAATACTCCTTAACTACTAGCCAGTTTAAGGTTTTAAATACACATTAATGCTATACGTATTATGCATATTGTTATAAATATTAATAACGGTAATCATAATTAAAAAATTATGATGAGGAAATATTATGGTATATACGTATAACTGTGATAAACATATTAATGTACATTGTAAAGTAATTATATTTCCTTAAAATACTTATATTTTCCCAGTTGTCATTTGAGAGAGAATTATTTGTGGAAGCAACAGATGATTGACATAAACAAACAGACACACAATCTGCATAATCAACACAAAAGCACCGTAAATAGCTCCTACTGAACAATAGAGAACACAAGCCATGGCTGGGCAAGAGCTTAAAAACATTTGAGAGATCAGGAGAGTTCGGACTGAATGATAACGCTGTCAGCTTAACCAATTAGAAATGAGCCACAGGGTTGAAATCACTATCATACGTGAACATCACCTTCCTGAGGTGACAGCAGAAATTAATATAAAGGATTTACAGGACAAAAAAAAAACAATTCTGAGCTAAGAAAGTAAAAGTTAACATAATATGATTTGCAATCGTGTTAATCACCCAATAATGAGAGGTCTTTGATAAACGTTTTTCCTTAAAATACTTTTTAAGACAAATCCTACATATATAGACTCTGACATAACAGAACATTGCTATGCAACAAAAACAATGACATTATTGGTGCTCCGCAGTGATACAGCGAAGTATCACAGTTTCAAGTTGGAGCTGTTGCTATATCACAAATTTAAGGACTAAAAATAGCCATTTTTAATTTATGTTAATCAGAACTGGTATCATCTGATTCACCAAGTTCTCCTTTAATTTGATGTGTAACATTCACAGATGTTTTTGATCTACATGTTAAAATAACAGGAACATAGATGATCAGACATGTATTGCTTGTTTTTAGAGCTTTTAGTCTATTTTTTTCTTCTTTTTTTCTGTATTTGTTTTCAATTTTGGCTGTTTTTAATTCAAATGTTTCCAATATGTTTAGCATTTTGAACTATAATTGTAGGTGGTGATAGGGGACGATAATTATGTTGAACAAGCACGTTTGATTCATGTACACAATTTAAAGCATCCATATTAATGTTATAATCCACCCTGGTAGTGAGGTAAGTTGTAACAACAACATTCTTTGTACTTGCCTCTAATTTACACATGCACAAGTTGTAGAATTGTAACTAATTTATAGCAGATGAAAATGTTAATAACCTATATCAAAGTCTGAGAGACACACATTCTGGATCGATCCTCACTGCACAAATTTGTGAAATCACAATAAACAGTTATTATTCACTTTAAACTAACAATGAAATTGACACTGATACTACACCACATGGGTAGAGAGAGTTGTTAACCCCCCTTCAGAATGCAGTATCTTCAAACCACGCAACAGTTTGTCCCATGTGAGAAGGCCCGCCTCACTGTCTTCAGACAGGGTCACTTTCCTAATATAGTCATGCCAAACTGCCCATGTGTCTCCCCCTCTGTCCCCTCCAGACATGACCCTTCCATATTCACAAAGGGACAGAATGAAAATATACCAATGCCAACGTATACAGCGTGCGCTATTTTTCTCAGCAAGCTCCGCGCACACCTGACCTTTAATTATGGATATTCCTACAGCAACTCAATGAAGGAGCAGAACGTGCTGCACCGATACAATATGATGATGTCACAGCCTATTCGTAACAATAACAAAACAGAACTTTACAAAAACTATACAACGGGCGTGTCGTCACAATGCAGCATTCTATCATGAGGAACTGCGTAACTGTCAATCAAATGAATCACTTACCGCTGTCTTTGGGGAATATACGTCTTTAAATCTGCTCTTCCCCTTTCTCAAACCGGTTTAAGGCTCCTCTCGACTCTGCGATGTTTAGAAGTGTCTCGTTTATTCCAGGTCACAAACTTGGTGCAGACTCGCAGAACTAGTGCGAGTTCCTCCTCGCTAGTCGTTCCTGAACATCAAGCGAGAAGAGAGAGAGAAATCGGTGGACTGGGGGGCTGGAGAAGTGCACAGACAGGAGTGTACAAGCATGGCAAGCCATTTGAACAAATACCCTTAAAAATAAGTATTAGTAACTAAAATATATACTAGTAAGTAGTCCAATAGTGACTAGCATCTACCTTTAAATGTACAATACTTATCAGATTAAATTCTATCACTTATTCTAATAGTGACTAGCATCAATTCAACTAGTCACTAGTATGTATTACTAGTACTTATTCCTTAGCTTCTAGTATATAATAAGTACTGTGTGCAATAAATTCTAGCAACTATTTGAATATTACAGTAACTAATTATTAACAGTAAATGAGTAGCTAGTGAAGTGGTTATTTTTGCTGTAACTGAGGTAACAATGAACAAGACAAACAATGCAACATTGCAATATAATTAAAGGTGTTATATGTAACTTTTTTGAAAGTACTAACACATAAAAATACCACAATATGTTTGCACATATTTAGGAAACATGCTAAATTTGTTTCTCCAAAAAAACAATGTTACAGTCATAGTTATTCTACTTTGCAATGGGCATTCCATTTTGGAATGTTTGTTTTTGTTTTGGTCTGTGTGATTCCGCACACAGAGCCTGCTTTCTGTACAAAAAATATCAGATCTTGGGATGACCAATCAGAATCCATTATTCCAGACAACCGTGTAATACTTTAATAAATACTTACAACTATAGGATTACTAACTGTTAAATCATGTTAAATGTGAAATTAGTTTTTTATGACTGTGGGAACCTGGTCAAAAATACCACCCAAAGGTATTTTTGTCCATTTGAAATTGTATTTAATTGTCACAGTTTAAGCACAATAAAAAAGATTAATAAATACTTACAACTATAGGATTACTAACTGTTAAATCATGTTAAATGTGAAATTGGCTTGCCATAGTGTATAGACATAGGGGTCAAGACGGTCCCGTCTATTTTCGAAATGGCTGTCGGTGTCGGGCTATTTCTCGGGCCGGTGACAGGGCTATAGATTGCAGATTGCAATACTGTACACTGTAAACACTATTTTGTCAGGTTTAAGTTAAAATATTATCCATCACTACATAATCCTGACTATATTTGGTCTATCATGACTGAGCAGATGTGCAGAGATGTTCAGCTTTTAAAGTGTAGCAAGCATAATTTAAACATTAACTGTGTCCTGAACAGTAAGAACAAGTAATACTTTCAGAGTAATACAGGGTTCCATCTCCTACAGACTGGACCAATAGAGAGTGGACTAACAAGTGCAAGAGTTCTACCTGACTAAATATTTTAGATTTTAGAGATTTACGACAAACAGAAAGACATATTTCAGATTTCTTTCTTTTTTGCACTGTACAACAAACACCCTTACAAGCAACTCTAAATACATACTCTTGCAAACATGCTTCCAGAATACAAACCACAGTTTAAAAAACAATTAAAACAATAATAAAAAGTGCATATTAAAATCCCCCAGGTCTCTTTTTTGTTGTGTCTTTAACAAAACAGAAAATGCTGAAGGAAGAAACTGCACCAAAGTTGAAAATAGACAAAGTACACACACACACTCATTTTAAAAGTATACATATCATACACATCCACAAAATATACATACACACACTGAGGCCCATAAACTCTACATTTTACAAGTACCACAGAACCCATTCTCATTAAACCAACATGCACAAACACATTAATCTCACATCTGTAATAATTTTACACATACAATTACGTCACTCATTTCTGAATGCATTTAAACATACTCCTCTATGGCTCTCCTACAACCCTTAACAAACACACTCTCTTTCTTTCCTCTCACTCACTCACACTCACACACACACACACACCTCCAGAATCCATTTCAGCAGAGAACATTGTAGTTTTCGTTCATAGACTGACAACGTAAAGGATGAAGTGGTAATGTATTACCATAGTACACAAAGAATGACCTGGTAGACACTGTGCAAAAAGTATATCAGTCATAACATTTCATTGTTCTTCAAGCAATTATTTTCTATTCAAATGATGGGTCGGGATTACATGATTCCTATTTTATAGGCCATCAACACCATCAAAAACATTCAAATCACATTGTGCTCTAAAATATCCACATTGTTTGATTTCCAGTTGGATAAGGCCCACTGAGGTATGCGTGGCAATTTAAACATAGTTTCACCCAAAAATAATTCTGTCATCATTTACCCACTCTCATGTCAACTCAAATCTGTATGACTTTGTTTCTTCTGAGGAAAAATAAAAGACATTTTGTAGAATGTTATTGTCCATACAATGAAAGTCAATGGGGTCCATAATCTGTTATTTTGGACCCCACTGACTTTAATTGTAAAAAAACAAAAAAACATAAATAATAAATTTTTCAAAATATCTTCTTTTGTGTTCCATAGAAGAAAAAGTCATACAGAATTGTCATTTTTGGGTGTGCTATCTCAATTAATCACAAACTCACCATGGCAGGCACAAACACACGTACACTCACACACAGAATAAAAGTCACATAGTGTGGTAAGGGTTTATGGTCTGTTTCTTCAGCCTCTGCAGGGGATGCGTCCTCCCATATTGTTGGCGTGTTGCCACGGTTATCAAGGCAGAAGCAGGTAACTGGGTGCAACCTGCCTCCTCCTGTGCATTATCCCGCCTCCAACACTGATTGGAGGGTGGGGAGAGTGGCAGTGGCATGGGCATGACATCATAGTCACTATATTCTGCCTCTTCAGTCTTATCATCATTCTCTGCATGTCCAAGCATATGAGATCCAGTGGAAGAAATAGGAGAGGCAGAAGAGCAAGGGACAGCAGGAGTGCAATGGGGCAAAACGCGTTTCTTTTTTGAGGTATAATCACTACAAAAGTGGGGACGTGGCTTATTGGTGGGAGCAGAGAGTAAGGCAGGACTTAAGTCAAGCTCGCTCAGGTCAACAGGCGAGAGCTCCAAAGACCCAAGTTTGGCCAACGAGGCTGAGCGCTTCATCATTGAGGGTGGGGTCAGGCCAGCCTGCCGGATCCGAGCCGCCACCTCTTTGGTCCTCTCTCGCGCAGCCTGGCCCTTTCTTTGCTCCCTCCTGGACCACGGTTGGCTGAGCCGCCTGTCCGAGCAGCCACTCACCTGCCAGAGGAACGCCCCAAGCTTTTTCAGGGTTTCCCAGGTTTCCCTCATGTCTTTTGGACAGCGTCCCAGTGGACAATCAGAGTCTGTGTAACTCTCCTGCTCAGTGATTCCCTCCAGCTGTAGAACCATGGCCAGAGACGAGCTAGATGAAATGGAATGGCTTTGTCTTGAGTGCCTGAGGCCAGTGTTCATGCGCTCTCCCTCCCTGAGTTGTCTCTCGCACTCTCTTCCCGTTCTGTCCTCATCAGCTGAAAGACTCTCGTCTTTCTCCACCTTCATGTTGTCCATGTTGTTCTGAGGCTGGTCATGGCGTGTTGACACAGTGCTTGGATCAGGTGTGAGGTGTGTGTGAGATGAGGTCTCCTCAGTTTTCTCTCTGCTGCTGGTGTTGATGGGGGAGCGTCGCGAGGGACACGCGGGGGCCGAGGACACCAGTGCCGCTGACGAGACCTCCTGCTTGATCTTCTGCTCAAGCTCCCTGGTGGCTCGCTGCATGGTGCCCTTTGGCCAGTCGCTTTGCTGGTCCTTCCCATGCTCCACGTTCTCTTTTTCAGCTTCCGCTGATGTGGCTTGTGTGAACTCCTCTTCCTCACTGCTGCTACTGGAAACAGGTTGGCTGGTAGGAGGGGGGGGAGGGGTTACACTGTGCCGTATTGAATCCATTTCTGAAACTATATTATGGACTGAGACACTGCAGCTCTCCTGTAGCAGAAAAACAGGGACATGGGGTGGTTATTTGCTTTGAATATGTACCTTTATTATTTTGTGATGTAAAGGTGAAGTGTACAATTTGTATGCCTCTTGTGGCACAAAGTGGAACTGCAAAAATGTGAGTGGTGCTTGACCGTGCTGAGCTCAGCCTTGATACTAGGGTTTTTGAAAGTTGCCGATAAGTTACAATGTAATTGCTATGTAATTGCTATGGTATTCTGGGTGGTGGGATACATTTCTGTGTATCAAAAAAAGCCATGTGACTTTGCGTCAATGCGTTCATAAAAGAGAATAAAAGAAAACATGTTTATCTGGTCATTTTGAAATGCAGGAGCCAAAGCATGTCAAATATCTTGCCTCCCAGAAATGAACATAAGACATCTGCTGTCTAGAGCTAGCAAGCAGGAAGTTCATCAGAGCGTTCTAACCTGCAAGTAATTTTTTACATTTTTAAATGTATTCATTTTAATATTGTTATTCATTACATAAATTACATTTAATAAAGAACCACAGTGGCCTTTCCAGTGATTCCAACTTCCATTGGTATTGATATTTTGCACCTGTTTTCTGAGAAGTGACAATTGTGTTCTATTGAGCACATCAGATGGAAATGCTGTTTTATTTGTAAACTGTTTTTGCAATGTTTCGATTTTTGTTCTTTCCATATAGATTAAATTTGTAACTTGCATGAAAAAATAGCTATTGTTAAACATTTTTAGTAAGTCAATATATGATTGGTGTACTTTTAGTTTAAACAGGAACATTAAACTGAAACAGAAAGTATTTTACCATAAAAAAAATTACACACTTCACTTTTCACTGTAATTGTGCATGAAAACTGAACTCAACAGCAGCAGACTGATCAGCACTATGACAGATGAAGGATCCCATTCAACATTTCTCATCAACAGTGGGTGGCAGTGTGGGACATGACTTCATTCAAACATGATTAGGGTGAGACACAGTATGGGAACAGAACCTGATTTTAATAAAGTTTGGCACTTACTCTCAGGAACATTATTCCCTTGCTGCAGGACAATAACATAATATTAAGACAGATGCATTCAAAGCTTTGACCAGCTGTCTAAATAAGCATTTAAGGTCATTCATAGAGGTTGAAAATTTATTTAATTTACTTTT